TAATACTTCTCTTTATTTTGTAAATTGTATTGATTAATACTAAATTTTATATATATATATATATATATATATATATATATATATATTTATATATTTATATTCGAAAAAGTTCAAAAATAATCTTATTTGAATACTAAGAAAAATCTTTGCATTGGCTACTTATTATTATTATTTTAATCCTTTCTAAAATATTTTTAACTTTATATTAATTTATAAACTCGTATTGCTTTATAATTAACTATATGATTATAAAGCCAATATACGAAGTCTAATTAATTATTATTAGGTAATTTTCACAATTTCACAATACACATTAATAATAATTTATAAGAATCTTCTTTTCCCTTATATTGGTGGAGCGATCTTGCACATTTTACCATCGACACAAATTTCTTATAAACATGAATATTTTGAATTAACTATATGCCATATATATTTATTTTCTATTGATTTTTTCCCAGGTGCGCATATGAGAAGGGCCTCTCAAGAGTTGGAGAGGCGTCGGGCGTCTTTGGGAAGTGGAGCGGGCCTGGCGAGCCCTAGGCCCCGTACGGAGCCCCTGGATCCACATCACGCTGCTATTTTATTCAGGGACTCTCGAGGGGTAAGTAGATCGATGAAATATATTTATATATAACTAGCAAACCCGACGAACTCCGTTTCGCGACCAGTTGGTTTCGTGAGAAAGATGAAGAAATTTTTTGTTTATTTCATATTTGAAAAGGAAAAATTTGATTTTATTATACAACAGTAATGAATTTATTTCGATTACAAAAATTAAGTGTTTTTCAGTTGAACTTCTCTAAGTAAATGAAAGTGTATCCGCAAATTATCTGTTTTATTGAAGTGCTCTTTGGTAAACCACATTTTTTGTTTTTTGGTCTGACGTTAACACAAACAAAGCGGACGGTTTTCCAACTCCTGAACAGGCAATGTATAACTGCCCATATGAAAATTAATGATTTTCTAAATAATCTATTTGAAATTTATCCTGCAAACACTAAGCGATTGGCCTTGCGACTTGTTATTGCGAGCGCAAGTTGAACTGGAAATTGCAATCGTTTGAAGTCAAACGGAAGACCAGTCGGAATCATTGGTATGTCACCAAATCGCCAGCAATTTTTGATTGAATGGTGAAATTCAGTGCGTTATTCTATTCTATTCCTATTATTACTATTGCGGCAAGAATTGCTCGTTAACTTAACCAAGCATAATTCTGACAATTCTCACTAATATCATTACTCGAATTTTTAATTACGGTGCGTGAAGTTTCAGCAATTTGCATTAGGGCACGATGCCATGCACCACTACTTTTCCTAGCTATAAACCTTGCGGAGCCCGAGACCTTTCCAAAGAATGCAAAATTGCCGAAATCGTGCGTTCTGGAGTTAAATCGTCAGGAAGGAAAACCCGACTTATTTTTATATATATGTAGATAAATCGTTTATATTTTCATCCAATGGATTTTATATTTTTTACATACATAATTATTTTCCACGTACTATATTAGGTTTCTCGGCTGGTCTTTTTAGTAGACTTGACTTGCTAATTGGTTAAAACAATTTTTTTCTATCCGAGAAGTATAATTTTTTATGTTTCAATTTTCCCCTGATTTTTCCAAAACGCAATTGACTGATCTCAAGAATAACAATATTTATTTTTACAATGGAATGTATGTTATGATACAATAATGTGTAAATAATTTTCCGCACAAATTAACAAATATTATTGAGACTAACATGAACTCAAAGACGATGAAGAGTTTACGTAGTCGTGTCACGTATGATAAAAACAGAATTGTGGCGACGGCGCCACATAACATTGTATGTAGAAATAATTAGACTAGAAATGATTATCATTGGACTTAGAATATAAATAGAAAATTTGTGGAAATTTTAAAAAATGCGTTTGTCTAAAAATATGAAAAATTTTGCCTTGCATAATAGTTAAATCATGACTTATCGAGTAAAGTTAAATCACTTCAAGTCTTTAGGACTTATAAACGAAAATTTATTAAATATATAGACCGATTCTGCTGCAGAACAGACCAATGTTATAGCAAGGCTATGTTATGAAAAATAAATATTGACAAAAGCCATGTGGCTGCTGTGCCGTCAGTCGTATTTCTCAGGTTGTTAGATAGAAAACCGAACCGAGAAATCGCACAAATATCAAAAAACGATCTTAGATAACAGGGTCTTTCTGAATCAGCTTCATAAAATACGAGTGACGTTGCAGTTGTGGTTGCTTTGCAGTCAGGCGTTTGTCAGATAGAAACACTAAACCTAGAAACCGCACAAAAGTCAAAAAAAACGATCTTAGATAACATGGTCCTTCTGAATCAGTTTCATAACATACGAGTGACGTTGCAGTTTATGTGTGAAACGTCTAAATGCATAGCAAATACATGACATTTTGACAGTATTCAGTACGATTTAGTAGCATTATGTAGCCAAGTTGGAGCGATTTGGTAAAATCAAAATATAAGAATGTATGAATTATGAGTATAAAATAATATTTAATTAATTAACCTTGTTGTATCGCCGATAGTTGCCAAGAAAGAGTGACGGTTCAAGCAATCAACGTAATTTTCTTTATTAGGGTTTGCTGGTTTTCAAAAACCGTTTTTTAGGCGAAAATGATGGAATTCGAAAACCGGTTTTTAGTGAAAAATGTCGGTTTTCACTGTATAAATGGAAAATGACAAATATAGCCAAATACAAAAAATAGATGAAAGCGTTTTGATTCTTGAAATCATGTCGGTTTAATAGCATTTTGTAAAGGTTTTTGTATATATTAATTTAGATTTTTTACACCAGTGTATATATTAATTTAAATCAGTGTGACTTCTTGAAGAAGTAACTTCCTCTACTCAAACTTAAACTAGCTGTAAGTGGAATTCTGTCTTGAGGCAATTATGGCATCGTGCCTTGAGGCAAATTGCTGGAACTTCCCGCACCGTAACGAAATGTTCGAGGAATATTGAATGTTTTCAAATAGATTATTATAAATATAGTAACATTGTCTAATATTTATAAGAATTATATAAACCGAATTGCAGAGTTGAAATTATTTCTAAAGTATATTAGAACTATAGTCTGAATTAAAAATAAAATCTGAAATATTTTCGATATACAAAATACTAAAAAAAAAAAAAAAAAAAAAAAAAAAAAAAAAAAAAAAAATGGAACAAAATTTTTTTTTCCAAAATCAATTATTTTGTTAAGACAAGCAGAAAGTTCTTTGAATCATTTAAATCAAACGCTTAGTTCTCTCAAAAACTGCCATTTTTTACATATTTAGCTCCGTATCTTCGAAATGGCTGGGCCTGCCTTTGCCAAAAACTAATAAACACTTCTCCCAATCATTACTAATTGAATGTTTTTTAGATCATTCAAATCGGATACTCCGTTCGCTCAAAAATTCGATTTCTATTTTTTGCACTCTTTGCTCCGTATCTCCGAAACGGCTGGACCTGCCTTTACCAAAAACTAATCAGCTCTTTTCCCAATCAATAGGAATCGAATGTTTTTTGAACCATTCAAATCGGTTGATCCGTGCGCCCTAAAACGTGACTGGAAATTTGTATCCACACATACATACACACACACACACACACACACACACACACATCCATTTTTTCTGAGGTATGCCAAAACGTTCAGAAACCTTCAAAACGTCGAGAAATGTAAAAATTTTCAATTCCGATTTTCGGCCCATTACAATAACTTACCCTACGGGAAGTTAAAAAAAAGTTTTAAACTGTAGAAGTCACAAATTAAAGAACAAAAAACTTAGAATTATTACATCAGGCTTTAAAAACAATTAAGCATAATTTGGTCGCATGTATGAGAGTATTTTCTATTTCAGAAAATTTTGTGAGTAGTCAAAGGACATGTCTAAGTAGCAATTCAATAGACGTTCTCAGTTTTTTGAAATCATATTTTATCAAACAAAGAAACAATTAGAATGTCTAAAATTAATCAATTAAAATTTCTCGGAACAGACAATACCCGAGTTTAGATTAATTGTTTTTAAAACTAAAATTGATATTAACAAGTATGTATCAACATGTATCTAATATTTTTGTTTAGTTTAATGAATTTTTGTTATTGATCAATGTATTATTTTTATTTATTCAAAAACTTTCCTCTCACTATCATAAAAATATTTTCATTCTTATATGTGAAAATGATGCATAAATAACGAATCATTATTTTCAAAGTTATTTAATCAAGATAAACTATTATATTTTAGTTCTACTAATTAAAATTAAAATAATTTTGTTTACTATTTATAAAATTGAACAATAAATAAATTCAGTCAAATACTGCTCTAAATCACACTAAATTTGCGGATAAGTTACAGAATATTCGAGCATGAATTTATTTTCTATATAAAATTCGAAATTAAAAATAAATAAAAATTTGAAAACTGGTTTTCTGAAATGTCGTTTTTTTATAAACCCTAGTCCTTATCTTATTGACCTTATATTACATGTAGTGTAATGTCTATGTCTTAACATAGAAGGCATTGTGACGTCACATGTCCGAGCGAACATTGCCGACGACAATCGCGGACTCTCCCGTTTGATCAAAAGTCAATTATCATATGTATCATTCGCATTCATTATAATTAGAATATGTAATCATTTACCCCGATTGGCTATTTATCGCCAATTTTGTCTTTTGGCCAATGGCCAATATTTTGATCGGCATCTGTTTGCCGCAACTTTGTTTTGACTGTCGGGAATTCGGGAATCGGTTGGCAACGAACGAAAACCGATTCCAACACTTTCCAACCGGAGGAAACTATTTTTAAACCGATACGACCGATTCCTGAACATTGCCAGGAATTGGAATAATAATAGAATTAATTTAGACAATCAATATACGTGTATATTTAGATTGTTAGTGAAATTATGAATTTTAAATTGTTAAAAATACAATAATTTATGAGAAATATAAAAGTATTAATGGTGATGTTTAATTTTGTTACAGTTGCCTGTGGCTGATCCGTTCTTGGAAAAAGTCAATTTGTCAGATTTAGGTGAGTTTTTTATATGTTTAGTTATAATAATTATATATATATATATATATCATATTATATTATAATATATTTTTGAATAGTCTTGAGTTTGATGTTGATATAATATGTTTAATTTGAGTTAAAAAGTCGGGCGTTACATCAATAAAAATAGTATGATGGTTTTTTTTTTGAGAGTATTTAACTGACCATATTCATTTAAACCATATATAAATTTTTTCAACCCTAAAATTTTACATTTTGAAGAGAACGTAATTAAAAGAAGGGTTGCTGAGGAGTTGTTTTTGCAATTGCATAACGACAGAGTCATAAACAAACGTTTCGACAATACAGCCCTGAACGAAACAAATACGTGGTTCCTTAATAACGTTCTTCAAAATTTCTTAAAAAATGACAAGATCCCGTCGCTTCTTAAATTTCCCGTAAAATTTGAACATATGTTAAAAAATGCTTCAAGAAAAAAAGTGACATTTCTATCTTAAATTCCGAATAGTAAATACATAGTTTCGATAACTTGTTAAGTTATCATGTTTATTAGTGTGTTTTACCATCTGCGATGTTAAAAATATATATTTTATCAATGTGCATATACTCATACTATGGATTAATAATGGTTTCATATTTATTAGGATACAAAATTATAAGTGTTTTATTATTATTATTATTGTTTTTCTTTGAAATTCTTTACATATTATTTATTTAGTTTTAATGTGGACCTAGAAAATGTTATTCACGGTTACGGTTCCAAAGTTTAAATGAACAAAATTAGTAAAAATTTACTACAATAACCGGAAAATTACAACAGCTTGACCAAAGCTCTAGGGTGCACTTAAAAGTTCATAATTTCCATGAGATAATTGTTTTTAACTTCTCTCAGGGTCGGTTATATTAATCGCAAAAAATCTAAAACGAAAATTTTTGCATATCTTCACGTTTCAGAGATTTCTGAACATTTTGGCATACCTTAGAAAAAATTGATGTGTGTGTATGTATGTAGGATACAAATTTTTGTGGACGATTTGAGGAACACGGATTTGAATAATTAAAAAAACATTCCCTTTCTATTGATAGGGAGATGTGCTGATTAGTTTTTGGCAAAGGCGGTTCGAGCCGTTTCAGAGATACGGGGCAAAATGTGCCAAAAATGGTAACTGATTTTTTGAGAGAATGGAGCGTCCGATTTGTATGATTCAAAAAACATTTTATTTGTAATGACGAAATGAAGAAATAATTAAATTTTGGAAAAGGCGGGTTTATTTGACGGACAAAAATGATCATTAGACTTCAAATTATCAGATATTTTATAGATAGAATAATTATCCGTTATACTGCGACTCGGCGCCCACGCGCTTCGAAATTTCGTTTCTACGCAGCTAACGTATAGCGATTGCTTTGAAAAAAAGTTTAAAATTTCTAAACTATTTTAAAGTATAAAAAAAAACAAATTTTTCAAAAAGGTCAATTCTTTTTTCAAAAAAATTAAAAATCTGAAAAATCAATTATTTTCAGAGTTCTAAGAAAAAAATTGAATATTCTTTAAAAAAAAAAATTTGGTACGGGAAGTTAAAGCAATTTGCCTTAAGATACGATGCCTTACACCACTAGTTTCTAAATTGATTTAGTATTGTTAAGGTCAACACTATCATTCCGTTTCGGCTTGACGTTGAGTTCTGGGACACCCTGTATGCGTGCAGTATGGTTTTTCTCATTCAAGCCTCTTTATTCAATGTTGTTTGTACTCCTGAACATATATCCAAAAATTTCATGCAAATTGGAGCACAGTAAAAAAATTCAGATGTTATACCTTTTTTTCCTCTCTGTTCACTGCACTATTAGCAGTTGTAACAGATATTGAAATAAAAAAAATAAAAAAAACTATATATATATATTACACTGTTAACTTAAAACTGGTATGAGCAATTCGACATTAACCTAAAACAAGGGGTAGGTTCTGGTTAGGGTTCACATGGAACCCTCTGACTGACACATTGTTAGTTTTATTTATAACTCAAAGTATTTATATTATTATATTTAATTTTAATTCAAGTTTTTCAAAATGGTGTCTTGCAATGTACGCAAGATATATTAAAAACCCTTTTAGTTTTCTTTGTTTCGATTAATTCTATGGATACTTGCAACTTTTTTAATGGTCTTTTACTCCTGAACATCTATCCGAATGTATGTATTTATTACTATTTTATATTCGCGTATTGCGTACGCCCATTGAAGCCAATTTGGCGTCCGAAATCTATTTATATTCCTCTCAGCTGTCTCGCAAAAATTTACCATCAGCCATTTGCTTGCTATTTAGTACCGACGATGTTTTCAGTCGCGTTCGCACGAATAAATGAAATAATAATATTCTTATAGTAAATGACATGTGGAAATTTAAATATTAATAATAATATAAAATTTTAATATGTGTGTTGTGGTGTAAAAAAATAGTGGGGTGTTATTAATTTGTATGGGATGGGCTTGCTCTGTTATCTTGGTACAGGATAAGAGAGCGAGAACAAATTTTTGGTACTTTTGGTAAAGTCTTGAAATTTTGGGTACGGAATTTTGTGATAATATAGCTATGTTCTGTTATCAGTTTTTCATGGTATCATAACATGTCATAAATAAGAGTACATTGAAAATTTGGTTAGTGTTTCGGGTTCTCCTATTTTATTTTGACAAATATTTTCTCGGTGTTGGTTTAGAATGCGTTAGCAGTCACGCCTGACTGCACAGCAACCACAATAACATTTTGACAGTTTTTAGTACCATTTTATATGAAAATTGCTACATAACATACCCTTGACCTAACATTGGTTTATTTTACTATATGGCACCGACTTAATTTTTAAAGACATTTATATATCGAGTTACTAATATGGCAAATCGAAACAAATTATTCAAGAGGGTAGAAAAATAAGAGGAAAAGTGGAGAATAAGTTGCTTGCGTTTGGTGTTTATATTTATATTTTAATATCCCCTAAAAGACATTTTAGATTAATTTTTACACATTTTGGACGCGTGTCAAGCAATTAAAGTCAATAAAGACGCCAAATAATTAGTTTTGGGCAACAGGTACTAAAATAATGTCGCTATAAATTTGAAGTGATGTATAAAGATTTATTGAATGTGGTGCAGTTTTAAATTTAGTATTATATAGTAATGAACTTAATATATAACTAGTGTTGTACGGCATCGTGCCTTAAGGCAAATTGCTGGAACTTCCCCTACCGTAATGAAATATTCGAGAAATTTTAAACGTTTTCAAATATATTATTACATATGTAATTATTTCATTATTTTTGCTATCTTGTTATATCTGAGTAAATCAAATGTAAATTAGAAATAAATCAATTGATCTCCAGAGCATTAACAATCGTCATTTCATTTCGAATTCAATTTAAAAAAAAAATAGTTGCCTAATTTGCACAAAATTGAAAAAGTGCACCGGTATAGTCACAGTCTAAGCGCATTTGCAAATAATTCTGTGCGACATTTTCACTTATACTGTGCTTAGCTTGGCGTCATTTTCACATTTTTCAATAGTTTTCACAAAATTGGAAAAATACATAAACAGTCTAAACGCAGTTGGGTAAACATTTGCACCAGAGTGGCGCTTAGACAGTGCTTAACCTGGGTAATTTTTTGAATTTTAATTCAAAATTACAAAAATATTTTATGAAAATAAAAAAAGATGTAATAATTTTTTTATTCTCAAAAGCAATTGTTTTGTCAATACGAGCAGAAAGTTTTTTAGATCATTCAAATTGGACGCTTATTCCACTCAAAAACTGCCATTTTTTGCTCATTTAGCTCTGTATCTTCAAAATGGCGGGACCTGTCTTTGCCAAAAACTAATCGCCTCTTCTCCCAATCATTACAAATTGAATGTTTTTTAGATCATTCAAATCGGATACTCCGTTCTCTCAAAAACTCGATGTGTATTTTCTGCACTCTTCTGCACTTTTCTCCGTATCTCCGTAACGGCTGGATCTGCCTTTGCCAAAAACTAATCAGCACATCTCCCTATCAATAGAAATCGATCATTTTTTGAATTATTCAAATCGGTTGATTATTGCACCCGAAAGTTTGGACGAAAAAATGTATCCATACACACACACACACACATCCATTTAGTTTCTGAGGTATGCCCCTTAAAAATGTTCAGAAACCTTCAAAACGTCGAGAAATGCAAAAATTTTCATTTTCGATTTTCGGCCCATTACTATAACTACCCTTCGGGAAGTCAAAAAAATATTGTTAAATTCTGAAGGTAAAAAAAGAAGTAACCTTCCTAAAAACCTTATAGATTGTTGTGTATAGACTGTTGAATTTGCTCATATAAAACCCTTTTCTCTTCTCTCTTCAGTTTGGTCATCTGCAGAATTTCATTTTTATTTTGTCATATTCAATTTCCTGAATCCTTGTTTATCTTCTGCGGTGGTACTTTTTTGCTTCGTAAAACTTTTTTGTTTATTTTGTTAGATTCAGTTTGGTCACCAGTAGAATCCTTTTTATCCTATACATCGTCATAAAAATCATTTTCTTTAGCATTGTCCTTGATCTCTCTCATGATTGTAAAATTTGCCCTTGGTTAAGATATTTTCCAAGAAGTACTTGAGGTGATAATTCACATATTTCTATTTCTTATCATCCTGAGAGACACATTCCTTCCTTATATATATATATATATATATATATATATATATATATATATATATATATATATAACAAAATAACTCTTCCCATATATAAAATTTTCCCATAAAGTTTTCTGGCACCAAAACAAACAACATGTTTTCTGGTTTCGCAATCGCCGTTAAGTGTCAATCAGGACACCACTGTCTCATACAGATTCTGACGAATATTAATCTGCATTGGAATTTTTTTATTCTAAATATACAAATAATGTAGATACTATTTGTCCATCAGTAAGATCCTCAAGATACAGTAAAGATTCTCTTCTTACAAACTAGTAACAACTTCTTCTCTAGTTTTATTTAAATCCTTTCAAATTATAGCAGTGGCTTATCAATTAAACAACTATCTATTACCCCTATTGCCATTATTTTGTGATCTTTCACCGAATTTTTTTCCGAGATGTCCCTAAAGGCATGCTCGCCCTCTGCTTCTACTCGGATCAAGCCGGACGTCTAGTCCTCGGGGAATACCCTAAGGACTCGAATTTATTAAAACTAAACAATATCATATTATACAATAACTATTACAAAGATATCGTCTATCAGGATGAAGGAATTCATCCTCTGAACGCCATCAAGGAATTCGAAAGGATTTCGAACGCTTGGAAGGCGAAAGTCGCTGAATTGTTGATACAAGGTTGGGAGGAGATGTAATGGAAATATTAAAATTAATGGTAGATTTGTTTAAATTTTTATATGTGTTTAATTTGTTTTTTTTTCTTTGCAGAAGAAGATGAATGCCAGATCTTTGTGAAGTTCTTCAGGTTCCACAAGTGCTACGACTTGATACCTACGTCTGCTAAATTAGTTGTTTTCGATACCCAGTTGTTAGTTAAGAAGGCTTTCTTCGCTTTAGTGTACAATGGTAAGTGATACATATATATATATATATATATATATATATATATATATATATATACTAGCAAACCCGACGAACTCCGTTTCGCCACCAGATGGTTTCGTGAAAAAGACGAAGAAATTTTTTGTTTGTTTTATATTTGAAAAGGAAAAATTTGATTTTATTACACAACAGTAATGAATTTATTTCGATTACAAAAATGAAGTGCTTTTTAGTTGAATTTCTCTAAGAAAATGAAAGCAAATTATCCGTTTCATTGAAGTGCTGCTCTTTGATAAACCACATTTTTTGTTTTTTGGTCTGACGTTAACACAAATATTAGGTAGATATGAAAATGGGGTTTTATAGTACTCAAAATAAGCTTTAAAATGAGTACTTCTGCGTGTAAAATGAGTGAGCTACTATCATGCAGATAATACACGCATACAATATTTTTTGCATTTAAAGCAAATAGTTTTTGAGCGCCATTACCACCAAAATTTAAAAAAAAATCATCTTCCCTCTAGAATCAACTTGGTTTAAGAGATCTTGACGGATTCTAGAAAATACCATAACTTTGGTGCAAACGATTTTCAAAAAGCTCATGATTTCATGAAAAAAATCTATTTAAAAAAATAAAAGATGCGTATAAAGGTATATAAATGAAAATTCAAGGTCTTTTACTGACTAATTATTGCTTTTTATTATTTTTCTGTTACACAAATATTGATAGTGTCAAACCAAAGTGTCTTTCGGGTCCTTCAATCCTTTGACATTTCAAAATAAGAGAAGTTACGGTAAAATTTATGATAGAGAAAGTTGTAGCTCATTTAATTACCTTTAAAATAGTGTATTACAAGTTCTGATAAAATCAGAATCAAAAGAGTTATAATCCAATTAATGCGGGGGGTGGTGACGAAATGCAAATTGTTTTCACTTCTGAACTTTAGATTAAGATTAGCTGGGCATACGCTTTTTTCCTCTCCATTTACTGCAATAATTTTGTTGATCGTACGTTGAATAGAGCACATGTGAACAGGATTTGATAAATTAATTCACTTCAAATATAAACTTAAGTAATAATGTATATTGAATAATTAGTGAAAAAATTTAATTTAGATTGTAAATTACTACAAGCCAGTTAAAATATGGTACGTAATTATAAAAATTATAGGCAACATTATTGAAGCAATTATTTTGGTAGAAAAATCCAAGGTGATATTGTACCTATACCAATATATTGTGCTATATATTAATTCTTTCTGAATATGGTATACTTTTTAAAAGACTTTAATTTTCAACACGTGTGTCTTATGCTATGATCATAAATCAGAAAGGCAGACGATGATTTTTTGTGTGATAAATTTGGAAAATCAATGATTTAGTCGTGAATAAACAAAAAATCATTTATTTTTACATCCACATCTACAGGTATGATTGAAAAATTGTATAACCCTTGGCATTAAAATAAATTGAGCTATTGGAAATAAATTTGCAGTGTATAATTTTTAATATACAATTTTATTGAACATTTTTTAATATTTGTTAAATGGATAATTAAAATGCTAACTGTGGGAATTGAGAATAATCATTTTTAACAGAAACAGTTCTACATTTAACATCACTCATATGTTAGTGTAAATAGTAATTCGAAAGACAATAATGATTATTTTTAACTGAACGGTATAAATATTAGTATAGGATATTAAAATAATGCGGATGTGGGTACAGGACAACGTCTGTCGGGTCATCTAGTATATATATATATATATATATATATATAATTTTTATTATTGTATTATATGTATGTATGTTTTATTTTTCAGGAGTCCGAGCAGCCCCTTTATGGGACTCTAGTAAACAGTGTTTCGTTGGAATGTTGACTATAACAGATTTTATTAAAATTTTACAAATGTACTACAAATCGCCTACGATTTCCATGGACCAATTGGAGGAGCACAAGTTGGACACGTGGAGAGGTCAGTATAATTTTTATATATATATATATATATATATATATATATATATATATATATATATATATATATATATAATTGTGTTTTATTCTAGATGTTCTGAAAGATCAAGTACCTTCATTAGTGAGCATCAGTCCTGATGCATCATTATTCGACGCAATTAGAACTTTAATCGAGAACAGAATACATCGATTGCCTGTCATAGATCCCAGTACGGGCAATGTACTGTATATATTAACACATAAAAGGATTCTACGATTTCTATTCCTATATGTAAGTATAAATCATATTCCTAAAAATAAACTAGTGGTGTATGGCATCGTGCTTGAAGGCAAATTGCTGGAACTTCCCGTACCGTAATGAAATGTTCGAGGAATATTGAATGTTTTCAAATATATTATTACAAATACTGTAACTTTCATTATTTTTGCTATCTTGTTATATCTGAGCAAATCAAATGTAAATCATAAATCAATTTATCTCCAGAACATTAACAATCGTCATTTCATTTCGAATTCAATTTCAAAAAAAAAATAGTTGCCTAATTTACACAAAATTGAAAAAGTGCTCCCGTATAGTCACAGTCTAAACGCATTTGCAAATAATTCTGTGCGACATTTTCACTTATACTGTGCTTAGCTTGGCGGCATTTTCACATTTTTCAATAGTTTTCACAAAATTGGAAAAGTGCTCCAGGTGAAAGTGAAACAGGTGAAAGTGGAACAGTCTAAACGCACTTGGGTAAACATTTGCACCAGAGAGGCGCTTAGACTGTGCTTAGCCTGGGTCATTTTTTGAATCTTTAATCCAAAATTACAAAAATATTTTTTGAAAAAAAAAATTATAAACAATTTTTTTTCCAAAAGCAATTATTTTGTTGAAACAAGCAGAAAGTTCTTTGAATCATTCAAATCGGATGCTTAGTTCACTCAAAAACTGCCATACGATGAGTTCACCAAAATTCAAAATTATAATTTGCGTATCGATTGCAATTTTCCGATAGTAAGAATAAAGCTACAATATTTTGGTGTAAGTATAAATTATAGATAGTTTTATCAGCTATAAGTTTGCAAAATATTGCAACTTAATCGCATAATTAGTTTTTGAGTTATATCTGAAAAACTAAAAAAGTGTTCAAAGTAAAACGTTGCAAAGTCCATACGACGGTTCAACAGACTTCTGGATTTTAAAATTGAACTTTGATTACAATTTTTATATAGTAAGAATAAAGATACAAAATTTTTGTGTAAGTACATGTTATAGATAATTTCATTAACTATAACTTTGCCGAATGTTGCAAATAAATCCCATAATTAGTTTATAAGTTATATCTAAAAAACTAAAAAAGTGTCCGAAGTAAAACGTTGCAAAGCCCATACGACGAGTTCAACAGACTTCTGGATTTTAAAATTGAACTTTGATTACAATTTTTATATAGTAAGAATAAAGATACAAATTTTTTGTGTAAGTACATGTTATAGATAATTTCATTAGCTAGAACTTTGCCGAATGTTGCAAATAAATCCCATAATTAGTTTGTAAGTTATGGTTAAAAAAGTAAAATAAGTGACTAAAATTGCTATACTCATAGTCTCATACAAAATGGATAATGTTTAACTTGAAACGCATTTTAGTGAAAAAGTTGTAACTGTAGAAGATTTTGGTATAGAAACAAGATTTACAGAATTTAACTAGCTATAAATTTGTCTCATATTGCAATTACATCAGACTTATAGTTTCTAAATTCTGTTCAAAAAAGTACAACAATGTCCTATGGTTGTTGTATAGATAAATCTGAAAACGTGTTCACAAAGCGTCGGAGACTTTGAATTTGCATTCTGATTGCAATTTTTAAAAG